ATTAAAATTAAATAAAACTTAAAAGTGCACCCTTTATAGGCTGCTTTCCCTCCCCACCCCTCAGCCAGGGATCCCTGCACCTCCCTCCTTAGACCTGAGTCCTTGTCTCAGGATCTGTTGCTGGGAGAATGAAAACCAAGGCAGAGACAGATGAAAAGCAAGAGTGAAGAAACTGCCTCAAGGATGTCAGCTGTCTGCCGTGTAAAACACGCTGAGACATAAGGATGAAAACAGAAGCATGTCCACTGAGTTTAGCAACACAAACACCAAAATGCGGTTGCAGAGGCATGGCATGTGGAAACCAGACTGCTGTGGCTTGAAGAATAAGCTAAAAAAAAAAAAAAAAGGCTGTGGTCTCTGTACCAGGACAAGGGTGGGTGATGACCTTGGGGGTTGTGGCCTAGAAGACAGGGAGATAGAAGATGAGCTCGACAGATACCACACTGGCTGGAACCCCCGATGTGTCTGGATGTACCTCGAGGAGATTCAGACAACTGGCAGGGAGGCTGGTGACTGAATTAGTGAAAGTCACTGAGAGAACTAAGGAGAAAAAAAAAAAAGACAATCACTCACCAGAGAGAAAACAGAAAGTTATCCATTGAAAAAAACAAATGACGGAGAGGGAAATAGCTCAGGGACCTTAGCATGCACAAGGTCATGGGTTCAATCTCCCGTACCTATATATATATATTTTTTAACGTTATGCAAGAAAGAAAACAAAATCAAAATACATTACATAGCTCAGCCATGAATAGCATTTATAATAGTCATCATAATGTAAAGCCAGAACATCGACCTGCTTCCTCACTTCTGTATAAGCAGTGCTGAGCCCATCTACCAGGTCCCCAGACTCAACGTCTGCCCCTCAGTCTCCCTTCCCCTCCGAGAAACCCAGACGTCCTGGCCTAGCCCCTAATCATTCTTGGGAAATCCATTTTGCCTTCAGGACCTGAAGATCCAGGGAAAGGCCTGGTGGTGCATGAAGCCACCTACACACTCCCTTCTCCAGGCCCGCAGTGTTACTCCAGGACATAGGTGCAAGCAGGGCCGGAGAGGTAACTCGGTCCTCACAGCAGGGTTGGCTCAGCCACAGGGAACGCCCAGGGAGCCTGCTTTGCTGCTATGTCCCTCCCAGGTAAGTCCAAAATGTCCCCTTGCCTCTCCACTTCTCTCTTGCCCACATCCAAGAACTGAGAATCCTCTAGAAGACCTCCCCTAGCAGCCACTTTAACTTCAGGAAGCCCTGTGAGGCTCAGAGGCTCTAAGCCAGTTGGAGTTGGAGGGTGTGACTGACATCCACTGGTCCCTTGGGCCTCACATCTCGGTGTGCTTGGGGACTTCCCAACACTATCGCTGCTTCTCTCTGCCTGAGGGCTTTCTGTGAAGCCTCGGAAGGTGACCTTGCCCTTGTGAAAGCATTAGAAGCTCAGGGGGATGAAACCCCTTGGAGCCACCCTCCACCAGTGGCTGACAAGATTCAGTGTCCAGTGCCCACATCCTTCACCCTCAGGGGGGAGGAGGCGAGTGCTTTCTCCCCAAAACAGTGTATTTTTAAAGTTAATATTACATCAAAACCATAAATAAAAACCAATGTCATTTGGTTTTGAATAGAAGGTCATGGTAAAAATAAATAAAATGAAGACAAAATAAAATTAAATTCCTGGAAGACTCTTCTTGAAGCCTGAGATGAATTCATTCTCCATTATGAAAATGAGTAAGCGTCCAAGAGATGCTAAGGACCTACGAGTCCCTCAGGTCTCCAAGAGCAGGACCTAAAGACCTTCTCCTGGACTGAGTCAGCAGGACTGTGGGCATACCAAACAGAGAATAACATTTTCATGGGTGAGTCACTGATGAATGCCAAGGCTGTCCCAGTAAAACCATCAAGTTATCGTTGGAGAACATCCCTTCCAGAAACAGAATTTACTTCATGGCCTTGAGCTGTAAACCAGCTCTGAGTTAAACAGAATCAGCTTTACCACTTCCTGCTTGTGTTACCATCTCTGAGTGTCAGTAACCTCACTGGTCTGGGAAGAAAACAAGCTTTGATGGTCCCCGCCTAAAAGCGCGCTCGAGTGTGGTCCCATGGGATATCTCTCTCTGAGCCCTCCTTCCTCCACTTTGTGGACATTCAGGTGGCACCTGCTCACCACCAAAAATGGGGAGACAGCAGATAAAGAAGAAAAATTTTAAATAAATAAATAGGAAGAAAAAAAGTTAAATCACCAGGAATTCCATTGGCGACATGTTTTGCCATTTCTTTGTCTTTTCTTTTTTCCAGAGAAATTTTTTCTCACAACTGTAACTATGGTGGGTACATCATTTGAGATAACATTTTTTTTTGTTATCTCTCACTTATATCATGAGTATGTCCCATTTCACTAAAAACTCTTTGACATTATATCTCATACTATTTGGTTCACAAAGTCTCATGATGGTTTGAAGGAAAAGAAAACACATCTACACAGAGGAAATTGTTTCTATACATTCATCCAGGCCTTGGGCAACTGAACAAGGGGTATTTCCTGGCTCTTGAGTCCTTTCCTGAAACTCCCGGCTCCACCCAGCCTTCTTCTATTCTCTGCTCAGACTCTATTCTCAGGAAAAAGCCCCTAAACCAGTAGCAACAGCTTAGGTTGGCTATGATTACCTTCAATTCCATAAGCACAGTATTCTTTCTAAGGACTTCAAAGTCCCTGTCACATCCCTCCCTCTGAAACTTCTTCAGATTTCTTTTAAGATGAGGGTTAAATAATGACTGTGTGGGGGACCAGATGAAGAAAGGCCAGGATTTGGAGAGAAACAGACTTGGGCTCCAAGTCTGGCACCATCTATCAGTTTTCTCTAGTAAGATGGAGACAAAAGTCCAATTTCCCCCCAGTCCTCCAGGAGTATCAGCACAGATGATTTGAAAGCACTCTGTACCATCCTGAAGCACGACCTGTGTAAGGTGTGCTTTCATTGAACCCTAGAGGTTCTAAACAAGCTAGGGTCCAAGGTTCAAACTCCAGTTAGAAATATCTTAGTTAAAAAGAAGGTACACTCTGTAAAGTAACATGGACAGATCTCCTGACTGTATGACTGAATGAAAAAAGCATGTTGCAGAATATATAGAATAATGTCATATTCATACAGAGTATGGCATCATTTATACAGAAAGAAAAACAGTATAATATATTTTCTGTGGGACACATATCTGTACAGAAAGTACTGGAAAACTACCCCCCATACAGACAACAGGGATTATTTCTGATGAGAGAAGAAGAGAAGAAATTAGGATTTGGGAGCCTGGTCAGAGAACTTGCCCCTTGTAAAATATTAAGTATATTCATGCACTATTTTTCAAATTTTTAAAATAATTTTAAGAACTCATATCCCTAAGGATCTGAAAGTCTAGATTCCAAACAGCCATCACCAGTGCAAAACTTTCTGGACATCTGTTTAATCCCAAAGATTCATGTAAATTCTGGACCCCATAATTTGTTTCTTTTGATATGAACATGATATTTTTAATCAACTTATTGGTTGACTTATACAACTTTCCCACCACTGCCTTCATTATCAAGAAGAATCTTGGTCTAAAGATGCTGCTCCAGGATGCACTGTGCACCCATGGTCCATCCTTCACGGCAAGCGAGCCTAGCATCAGGCCAAGGGTTGTGAGGATAAGAGAGAGAAGTGAGATATGGAATATAAAGTCCCTGACATATAACAAGCTCTCGGTAAGTGGTTTTGCTTGTGGTTCAGCCTGGCCCTGGCAGGTGACAGTTTGTTCGTGCACATGGGGAAGTCAGGAAGCACAGGAAACCTCTCTGCAGCCAGTTGCGCTGGGTTCCCATAGTCTCCACGAGGGGCAAGTACTAAAGGAGGAGATTTTGATTCTTTGCTGGAGGGATCCACATCTCTGTTCCCATCTCACCTTCCTACACCACCAGGAAAGTTATGGCTGGACCAGGCGGCCCGCATCTAGCAAGGAACATCCTGATCAGGCAGAGGTTCCCATAAACTTGCCACATGACTGCCTTTGGCTCAGGGATGCTGTCTCTCACTCAGTCAGCCAGGGGCAAGGTCACCGTGTCATTCCCCTCAATGCACAAAGCTCAAGCCACGCAGAAAGAATCTGTGGAGGCTATGAAAAGGAAATTTCCTGCTGTAACTCCAATAAAAGAAAGTTTCCCAATATAACTCCAACACATGAAGCAGCAGCTGAAGAGATGTGAAACCCGTACCTGTATCTGTGCTGAGCCCAGCTCTGGCAGGCTGCTCCTGGCCAATGGCCGAGCCTGGCAAAGACCCAAAGGCAGGCCCGGTCCAGGGACACGCAGGGCTCCTCACAGAGGGCAGCTCTCTGGAGGAGTGCCCACAACAGTCGAGGACACATCCACGCAACCTTCCCTCCCTCTCGCCTCCACTCGGGATCGAATGGACCTCACAATCTGACAGCCCCATGTTCTCACACAGGTGTGTCTTCCCCTCAAAAAAATCCTTGCACATTTAATCCTGTCTTGGCATCTGCTTTTCAGAGTACCATTTCCTCAAAAAGGGGCCGGGGGCCTTTGGGCACCACCACCCCTCCCCCAGACACCCATGATGAGGATTCAGTGCAGTGGCTGGAAGGAGGTGCTGGGCTCCAAAGAGGATAAGAAGTGTGAGGTTTCAGGAGGATCTTGTAGGATGAGTGGGAGGGAAAAGGCATTCCTAGCAGAGAGTTGTGTGATGGGGGGTGCAAGGACCCCAAGAGTTCTGTAGGGCCAGAGTGTAGACGTATGTGTGCATAAGGCACAGATGAGGCCGGAGGGTAGCAGGGTGCCCGAAGGCTCGGGCTTCCTCCTGCCAGCAGCCAGGAATTGTTGAAAAGTTCTGAGCAACTGAATCCCACGACCACACTTGGGTTTTCAGAAAGGTTTGACAGGTCAAGACCAAAGGCTGGGCAGACAATGAGAGGTCACTGCTTAGCAACAGGTCCTTTGTCTCCTCATACAGATTTAATGAGGAAGGGGTCAGAATATAATCGCTTTTATTAATGCTGCTGGATTTTACAACCAAATAACCCTTTTCCTTTACGGTTTTATTTCCTAGCATGAAAGAGCTTCTCAAATTAAACCTCTCTTCTGTGTCTCAGAAGAGCCAGGGTGCCACAGGACCTCCCCTGGGAGACACAGCCAGGAGTGCACCCCCAGCCAGACCTTGAGGTCTTTCTACCCTGCCCATAATCCTTCTTTCTCTCCACCCCATCCGCACAGGAAAACTCCCACGTTGGCACCAGACCTTTTCACACATCAGCATCCCCGCTGGTGATGGCAAATGGCCCCAGGCCTTCACCCTCCCTTAGAATGGGAGGGGCAGCAACCTCCATCCCACCAGCCTGAATCCCCAAAAGCCTCTCCCTCCAGGGAAGAGGGACTCTTGCTCCTGGCCTCAATGGTTACTCAAGAGCCCAAGAAATGGGCCATTGAGCTAAAACCAAAGGTGTGAACCAGCAAGTAAGCCGCGATGAGCCAACCGGGGGAGGAGCATGTCAATGAGGCAGGGAGCCCTCCATCCTCCACAAGCAGCAGGCCCAGGGTGGGGCTGGCATCAGAGTCTTTCTCTTGGTTGGGAACTAGGAGGATTTCCTCCAAGTCCGAGACACTCAGTGAACATATTCCAGAGGCCAAGGGCAATCAGTTGGGGGTCAGTTTATTCACCCAGCACAGGCTCTGGCAGTTTTTAAATGGCTGTTGAATGAAGGACTATATTTTGGGTTTTCTGTGCCTGGTGGCTCTGTGATAACTGACTCTGTACCACCGAGATCTGACTGAACAGATGATGGCTAGGTCAGCAGTTTCTCAGGTGGGAGCCTGCTTGTGACCTACAACATGAGCAGCACCCGGGAACTTGTTGGCGAATTTGGGGCCTGCACCTGACCTATGGAATCAGGAACTCAGCAATCCGTGCTTTAACAGGTCACTGCTAGGTGCTTTGAAGAGGCAATTCTGATGCACGATCAAGTTGGAGGATCATCACCCAGCGGAAGGCCTTTCTGTATGGTGAGTCTGGACCCCACCTGAGGCCCCCACGGCAGAGGGGAGTGGGAGGCTGCAGGGTCTCCTTACTGTACTGAGTTCTCCTGCTCCTCCCCTCAGTCCTCCCCAGACCCGCGCCTCTTTCCCTTCCCCCACCCCACCTCCTTCTTCCTGGAACCCCTGGCCCCCTGGTTCCCAAACCCGAGTCCCCCACTGACCTGACATCAGATCCCCCTTTCCCTGCCACCACCCCAACCCCTTGCTGGCAGTCCCTGTTCATGCCAACCCCCAACTTCTCAGAACGCTTGGAGTCCCCCGTCCCCAACCCCCTTGGCCCTGCCTTCCACGCTGGCCCCCCTGACCCCGTCTCCTGCCAGGCGGGCAGGACCCCGCACCCCTCCCCAACCCGACAGGCGGCTCAGGCCTCCCCGCCGCTGTCAGGCCCCACGAGCAGCAGCGGCTGAGCGTTCTTGCCCTTGTCGTGCCAGCACACGTCGAAGAAGGGGTACACGGGCCCGGGCAGGCGCTCGTGGAAGGCAAAGAGCAGCTCGAGCGCGTCGGCGTCGCTGGCGTCGTAGAAGGAGAGGACGCCGTCGCCGAAGCTTAGGTAGATCCCGATGCGCGTCGGCCGCCTCTCTGGGGTGCGCAGCGCGCGCGGCTCCTTGGCTTCCACGTGAGCCTCCAGGATCTTGGCGTCGCGCAGCCCGAGCAGCCAGAAGCCCTGCGAAGGCACGGCGTGCAGCCGGCC